ATATTTTGGCTTATGTTTGTTTTTTCTCTTTAAAGTGGACTATGGTGCGTGCATGGACTCTTTTGGCTCTCTAGCAGGTAAGTAAAACAGTGCTTATTAGTTGTTTTCTCTCTTCCTTTTCTTTTTTTTTTTTTTTTTACAACACTACCAAACCTCAAACATAATCTGGAGAATCTGAGGTCTCCCTTTGAACCTCAAGTTTAGTGAATGCTGACCAACTGTGTGCAAAAATGTTTACTCGTGTGACATTTCATCATTATAACAATGATATCTCTCTGTGTAATTTACTCTATAAGTTTTAAACTGCTTGTTGTGAGTTAAGATACTTGTAAGAAGCTCAGCAACCAGTAATTTAGTTCATATTGATTTGTTGCTGATTTTGACTTGTGTTTATATTTTCTCTTTTTAGCCGACATGTTGGATGACTCCATTGAAGATTCAGAGGGTAAGTAAATCAGTGCTTATTATTTGTTCTCCAGTGTCATGGAAATCACTCCATGATTTCTGTCCTGCAGGGCAGGGCCATGCAGAGATGCTTGTAGGGGCGGCTGCTCAATTTTTTTAAAAAAAATGTATATATAAAAATATATATTCCGTTGTTATATATATTGTTTTTTTCTCTTCTAAGAGGACTATGCTATGCCCTATAGCTGTTTACATGATCTAGAGGATAAGTATAACTGTGCTTATTACTTTTGTTCTGTTTTGTTCAACACTACCAAAGACCTCAAAGTAATCTGGAGAGTCTGAGATTGCCCTTTAAATCTGAACCTGGTTTTCATGGTAAATAAGATGTCACGTGTTATTAAAAATAAATTAATAAATAACATAAGCAACACATCTGAAGAAATTTGGAACAGGACAATAAAAAGCTGGGATAGTAAGTCTACTGACAAGAAACAGTTGCCACTAGTTAAGCTTATTGGGTTGATCAGGTAATCAGTGGATCTGGATGAAGAGGTAGTCCACACATGAGCCAGCACAGGACCAGTGTGTATGCAACTGGCCTTGTGCTGGCCCGTGTGGGGGACCCCTCTGGCAAACCCGATCTGGACCACCAAAGGGCCGTCATTCTTTGTAGTATGTGGGCCATGTGTAAACACATTGTGTGGGGCAGATCCAGGCCATACCTATTTTGCTATGTGAGTTAACTGGGTAAAAGGACTTGTGTGGGGATATTGTTGATACTCAAGTGCTTGCTTCACATAGTGCAGGAGGAAAGCACTTACCAGGCACATAGATCCCTCTTTTTAAAGTTAGGCTTTTAATTATATATATTTTTTAAGAGCTTCACAGCATGTGTGTGTCTAAATTTCCAGATCCTGAACAAGCAGAACAGAATTATTTAATTCAGTCCAGGGCAAAGGAAATGTCTTGGTGACATGCTCTGATATTAGATAATTAAGCAGATAAAGGAAGCTAACTTTTAATTGTTAGATTAAGAGAACATTTATTTAATTATTTATTTTTTTAAATGCAGTTAGATTAATTCTCTGTGGTGGTTGTTTCTGGCATAGAAACAATAATCAGATCCTGCAGTCTGCTAAATTTCCAGAAGGAACCAGGTAGGAAGCTAATAAACATAAAGAAATTTCAGTCTAAATAAAAGTTTATACAGAGGCATGGATGAACTCGAGAAAGAACAAATTTTTGCTTGAATTAGCAATATTTGCAAGACTGGATGCTGATGTTTGTCTTTTAGTTCATCCGAAGAGCATTGAGGTGGAGCTGGAGGTGAGGGACCATGTGGCTACAGTGGTCTCCACTCTGAACTACGAGAACAAGGAGGACAAACCATTAGAGGCTGTTTTTGTCTTCCCTCTGCCTGGAGATGCTGCTGTCTGTCATTTCAGTGCTCAGATTGGACAGACACAGATTGTAGCTGAGGTGAAGGAGAAACAGAAGGTGAGCTGGACAGTAAATATAACCTGATTATAAGTGAGATTCAAAATAAACACAGTGACTGTCACTGACATTTGTCACCTGTGCTTTAGGCTAGTGAGGAGTATGATGATGCTCTGAGCTCCGGTCAGCAGGCCTTCCTATTGGAGGAGAGTGATCAGAGTCCAGATATATTCTCTCTGCGTGTGGGCAGTCTGCCTCCAGGAGAGAGCGCCTCCATCAGGTTGGAGTACGTCACTGAGCTGTCTGTGCAGGCTGATGATGGTCTGAGGTTCTGTCTGCCTGCTGTGCTCAACCCTCGATACCAACCTCAGGGTAGGACAACTTCAGAATACTTGGACCAGAAATGTTTAAACCATATTAGGTCTTTAACAAACATTCAAAACACTGACAGAATACAATGTATGGCAGAAAATTAAGTCAAGATCCAACTTCATTTTCTAGAAGAAAAAGTGATATAGATATTTTTCATATTATAAAAATTATAAAAGAAACCAGAGGCAGATGTGGCAGAGGCAGATGTGTTGAGTAACCACAGACTGTAACTTTTCAGATTTTCTTGTCAGCTTGATATGTTGCAAGTGAAATTTGAATATATAAAATTGTTATGGGGATTTGTGTATGTTCCAGTTTTCTATTAGAATTGATCAAGTATGTGGAACATTTGCAAAACACACAGAGTACAGCTGTTAAATTGTAAAGCTGCTCACACAGATGCATGGTTCTCTATCATTTGTACTCTGATAATTTAGTTATTCCTGAACAGCTGAAATAGAACTGTTTTTTTTAAAAATACCTAATTTTACTGAAATCCTTATTCGAAGCAGAGGTTTTTAGCAGCTGATGTTTTTTCTTGTGAGCAGCCTTATTGTTTACAGCATTTCTAACCTGATGCTGTGTGCAGGTAGTGAAGGTGCAGGTGTCCAGGTGACTTCTGTTCCAGCCTCTCTGGTGCCCTACAGTCTGTCTTTTTCTGCCCGAGTGTCCTCTCCTCGTCCA